TTAGTGTATTTTTGGCTGCTCAGACAGGACAGGTTGGCCAAGGACTCGCAGCAAGCTTTCAAATTATATCTGTGAATTCTGCAAGGTCAGCTCGCTGGTTACACAAAAAAAACAGCAACAAGAAAGCTAACTTCTATATAGCCTGATATTATTGTTTATCCAAGAGAACATGCTATTATAAAACCTGATAGGACAGCATAAATATGAGCTGCATGCTCTAATAACTCTAAATGTGGACCATTTTCTACAATTAAAGGCCCAATAATCTCTTTGATTCAACATTGGATGCAATGACCTTAAACCTGGAAGTGCTCTTTTACAAGTTATTCTGAGTGAAAACAAACAAACAAACAAAAAAAACTGTCTTATACACAATCTTGTGTGATCACAGCGCTGAGAGTTTGTCTTAAATGAAGGCCTCTGCACTAACGTATCCAATCTTGGTTGCAGCAGCTACCTTCAGCAACAACAGAGTTGTTGTATTAAATATTTTTTGCAAACACATGTCAGCTTAATGTGGTAAAATCTCTCTTCCACTTGAAGTACAGCCCTTCACCGTTTACATCCAACATAATGAGAGAACAATCCTAAAACAATGAAATGAACATAAATATTTGTGTTAAAGTCAATTAAACCTTAATGTTTATGTTGTTATTGACCTATCTTTAAAATTAATGTGCACTCTGAAGTCGCCCTGCTCCCTTGTGTGTGTGTGTGTGTGTGTGTGTGTGTGCGCGCGTGTGTGTGTGTGTGTGTGTGTGTGTGTGTGTGTGTGTGTGTGTGTGTGTGTGTGTGTGTGTGCGTGTGTGTCACTCGTGAGAGCAGCAAAGCCCCGTTTGAAACCGCTCAGCTCTATTTGAAATAATGCAAAAGGATTTCTGCAGCACAAGTCATCCCTGGGGATGTGATGTAACCCAAATCATGATCTGTTCTTGTGAACTGCATCTGCACCCTGAATGACAGAGGAGCTCACATCGCTGAATGTAAACTCTTTGGTAAAAAGGTAAATGGTCTGTATTTGTGTAGCACCTTCTTAGGGTTCTATAACCCCCCAAGGCGCTTCACAACACAATCAGTCATTCAGCCATTCACACACACATTCACACACTGCACCATTTTGTGTCACAAACATTCTCTGATTTGACTAATTCACTTGAACTGTAGGTTAACCCATCAGGTTGCTGCCATGGCTAATAAACACTACAATGGTGCAGTTATTTTAGACATGTTCCCTGTCGCAGGCCCAAAACGCTGGAATGAGTTACCCTACTCCACACGGGCTTTGCCTTCGATGGCCGTTTTGAAGGGTAGGCTAAGGACATTTTTATTTGATCTGGCCTTTATCTCTGGCCGTTGTTAATGATTCATTGTAATTTGTATGTTGTTTTACCTTTCTTTTATTCTTGTTTTTAATTCCTGTTCTGTTATTTTTATTGTTTCTCTGTACAGCACGATGTTGTCACCCCTGTGCCTGAAAGGCTCCTTAGAAATAAAGTTTGAGTTGAGTCGGTGTTGGTGTAAATGCATCATCTCCTCCATAAGCACCAATCAGCCATGTGCTTAGAAGCAAAATGATATTTCTTTGGAAAATCAGATGTTGTTAGTTAAATGTGAGAGCTCCCCCTTCTGGTCACACCTGAGACCACGAGGAGAAAACACAGATCAGCAGCAGTGATTAGTGAGCATCAATCAACCCACCTGTGTTCACTCAAACACAATGAACGCAATCAGGGGATACTTACTTGCCCAACACAAACACAACAAGCAGCCCTGCAAATGCAGGCTTCCTCACAGGTTGATGCTGGAGGTGGAGACGAAATAAGGGGTGATGGGGGGCAAAGCAGACAGGGAGGCTAAAGTTGTTGTTGCCATGGAAACCATTGTATTTTCCCTTCCTTGTGATTGGTGCTGCTGGCATGACCGAGTATCTGCTATTTCTGTCATGATTCAACACCTCAGACACGAGCGCGGTCACAGGACAAACACACACATTAACAAACACAAAGAGTCCAGTATTCTCGTTGGAAAATGCCTCGGGAGAAAAGATAAAGCATTATGATGCATTAAACTCACTATCCATGATAAGAACTTGTTTTCTACAACATGCTGAATCTGAGCTGGATGGAGGAGTACTTTGTGAGCCAAACAGCAAGACAGTAATTGGATCAATAAACAAACGTATCTTTAAATTACCAATTGATTTATCAGCTGAAGCTGAGGAGCAATGAGTCGTGAACTCATCAGGGCTTATGACGCTTAAATGAGGAATTAATCAATGAGGAAGCACGCTGCAATTAAAAAACTAACAATGTGGGAGAAAATTTCATCCATGTAAATCTTGATTTTACTCGTTAAAGTGAGACAACACAAAGGGAGATGAGCTGACAGTTACATCAACAACCTTCATGCATCAAAAGGTTAATACTTGTGTCCAAAGCATGTGGTCATAAATCTTGTCATGTGGCAATACTTCCAAAAGCATCATAAACTGGAAAAGAGGCGGGATCTTTTCCTGAAGGAGCAGCGCCTGCCTAAGACCCCCCAAAGACAACCAGGCAAAAGACCCAAAAGTAATCAGTGTAATCTTTGCATCTTGGTTCATTCAAATGGTAATGTTTAGGTTTTCCAGTAGATACATGAAAATTGAAAGACCAGCATTCCCCGATGGAAGGCTTATCACCCACCTAATTTCACAGCAGAGTTTTAAATTAAAATCCTCTTCTGTTAAGGAATGACGGGTTGCTTTTGAGGTCAGACTTTGAAAGAACTGTCATGTAAAATCCCACGCAATAGTGGCAGTGGCTGCAAGCTACAACAGTAACTTTTAAAACTCACAGAGTTTTAATCAGTTTTTGTCGCTATTGTTAGTTAGCTGTAGCGGCCATCTTGAACTGGATTGCCTCCAAAAGTTAATCAGCTGCAGATGAATGTCTAAGGATCTTTTTCTGAGAGTTTGATTCAAACCAATCAACAACAACAACAAAAGATTTTATAAGGTAGTTTGCCAACAGCTGATTAAGTAGGAAAACGTGCAAAAGATCTGAGAATTTTAGTGATGATGAAGCGATTTGGGTTTCTTTGACTCGACATTGTTGATGCTGATTGATTTCTGAATTGATTTATATTACAATAACTGGATTTAGCTAAATGCTAATTTCTACCCATATTCTCATGAAACAATCAGCACCCAAATTGAAGAACAGCATGCTGATAATGGCACGATTTAACAAAAGCTATACAATTTCTTTGGTTTTGTTGCCTTTAAGTTTAAAAGCTTATTACTATAGCATATTCTACAGTAGATAAAAATAGATTGTGATGTAACACTGCAATGCATTGTGGGATGTAGCACTAGACAAGTATTTTGCATGGCTGCCTATGGATGTGAGTCGCTCTGCTTGTTTCAAAGTTGTATTTTTAATAATAATAATACTACATTTTATTTAAAAGCGCCTTTCTGGTCACTCAAGGACACTGTACAGAATAAAAACACAAATCATTCAGTAAGTAAACATACGTAAACATGAACAAACAAGGCACTCTAAAATTCAAAGCTGATATGTGGTTATAAAGAGGTGAGTTTTGAGTTGTTTGTTGAATTCTGTGAATGAGTTAATGTTCTTGATGAGAGGGGGAAGGGAGTTCCAGAGTTTGGGAGTTTTTGTCTCCTAAAGATGTTCAAACCGGAAGAAAATAGACACCGCCATTGGGGGAGGTGCTAATCGCACTCTAGATACCCAGATCAGATGTCAGAGAGGACAATTTTCCTCCATTTTCCAAAGCTGAGTAAGGTCCGCGACAACATGCAACAGCTGGAAATGGAAATGGGTCAAGCTAAAGACAGACAAATAGGTGGCAGGATTTATGTGGAAGAGCAGATTTTCACATGGGGTGCGTGTATTTTTGCACCATACATTTTGCCGGGGATACGTCCGACTATGACGAGCCAATACTAGCAATGCTCTCAGATGTGGAGTTATCCAAAAGGTAGCGGTGTCCACAAAGGGGTTCAGCTGAACGTCTCAGCCAAACGGCATCCAAATATGGACGAACACGGGTTTTGACCAGAGGTTGTATATAAAATGTAGTGACACAAACGATCACCTAAGAGCAAAAACAAGAATTTAGAGAAAATGTTACTTGAGCACTGTGAGTAATGAGTACCTGTTTGAGCATAAACATTTGAATTTTACTGACATCCAAGCGCTCTATCTATTTTTTCAATTGGTAAATGTGGTTTGTTTATTTGGTGCACGGTGATGTCAACTGTAGAATACGCTAGTGACACTGTAATCTACAAGATTATGAAAAAGTGATTGCATGGGATTTAGTGATTTAAGTTTAGATTGATCTTTGTTGTTCTTCATTTTATTCAAGTTTTGCCACAACTCTTTTATGTTGTGCTGATAATCTGGTAAATGCGTTGTCTGTTTTTCATTAGTGTGCATGCTATTCCTGTCAACTTCCTTAGATTATGCCAGTGTTGCTTATTGACACACTATCTTAGTCTCAAGTGTTTTGAAGTTTCTTCTCAGTCTTTTAATCAGCTCCATTCTCAGGCATGGTCGATGCTGATTATTAATTTATAAATACACCAACACAAACAGCTTTTCTATCACTCCTTTCTAAGGTATTACTTTTGTTTCTTGTGTTTCTAACTTTACCCTCGGATAAAATCCACAAAAACCTTCCACTGGATCATTCTGGCACAGTCAAACTCCCGAAAACAATCCCAGTTTACAATGTTCATGATGTGGGCCTGCCAATCTGAGCTCATTAACATTACCCACTGGGTTTCTTTGCTTTCCTAGAAATCAATAATGAGCTGAATTGAGTGGGATGGTGTCCAGCTGAGCAGTAGGATGTAAGTTAGAAGTGACTGTTGCTTCTGTTCCTGCTAACAGGACCTTATTTGACCTGCACTAAGGAGTGGCAGCGAGGCACTAAGACCCAGCGGACAACAAGAGGAAGACTGCCTTCCCACTCGCTGCCTGTCTGCTCTGCACGACTCTGCAGTTGCTCTTGGGCAAGTGCGGGAGCTTGTGTGTAAAAAGTGTGGAGGTGAAGGAGGGGGTCCACCCATTGGTGCATCTCAGGCTGGAAGAAGAAAGCCCCCTTCCACCTCCTCCTCTTTTCTCTTTACTTCATCTGTGCTTCTCCCATCCGGATGGAAGACCAGGCAAAATGAGAGCCGAGGTGTGTGTCTGTATGTGTGTGTGTGAGACTGAGCAAAAATGGGAAAGGAGGGTGCTCAACATGATGACAAAATGAGAAGTGCCAGGTGAGGAGACACAGGACTCCTCCTCTCCCTCTCTTTCTGTGACGTGTGTGTGTGTGTGTGTGTGTGTGTGTGCGTGTGTGCGTGCGTGCGTGCGTGCGTGCGTGCGTGTGTGTGTGTGTGTGTGTGTGTGTGTGTGTGTGTGTGTGTGTGTGTGTGTGTAGATGAGAGAGAAACAGGTTGGCTGTCCCTCAGCAGACTGTGAAGCTCCACAGGTCAAGGCAGCCCTCTCCAGACTCAGGTATGTCACTGACTTTTCATCTCATTTGCAGACATACCTGCTAACCCGTTGATGGCGGGCCTGCATGTGACGGTGGGATGGCTCTGACTCACGCGTGTTTTATCTCACCTCCATGTTTTCATGTAAAAGGACTAAATATATAGCCAGATGCGTCTCGATTCACATGCAACATCCCGACTGTCATTTGCGTGCTGATGCTTTGTAGTGAAAAGCACCCTGGAACAACAGGCTAGTTTTCTCATCAGTAAACAGATCGTCATGTGCATATGATACGGTCATACTTTTCCAAGTCAGCAGTTTGAGATATTCCACACAATCTTAGACTGTAGCTCAGTAAAATAATTATCTTTTTTGGTGTGTCAGCCTGAGTTTGAACTCACATTGCGTTGATGTCCCTGATTTGATTACATTCTCTGATAAACTGAGCTGATTCTCACCGTAAATAGTTTATTTGTGTAGCTCAGACCTAATGAAATGAAGCATCTCAGGATGCTTTTTAAATCGATTTTATTTGAATAAAAGGTTAAACTGCTTCTCCTTTGAGGGCAAGGCTGTGATCATTTGTAGTAAAAGCATTTGTCACAGAGGAAATACTCCGTCAATAGGGTTGTTTCTCAGTTGCTGCTGCATCACAGTTGTTCATAGGTCATTTAACCCTTTTGACCTATTCAGAAAAAGAAATTTATCACACACACCTGCATCTGCCAGGTTTTGTGCCTGACAAACCCAGACGTGGGCAGAAATAAGATGAGCAGCCTCTGCGGGGATGAAGGCAGTCACATTTACGGAGTGGAGAACTTGCACCTGCAGGTGTGCGGCATATGGAAATGTACCCAAGCTTTGATGCTTATTCCTTTAACGTTGTGTAGGGTTGCATCCAGGTAAGGTTGCGACAGTAAACACTGCCTACTCAACTGGCAGATACGCATGCTTACTGCTCAGGGTGATCCACCACCACCTGCACAAATGTCTTATCATTTATTGGAGCTTTTCACACAGAAGAAAATAAATAATATAAATGTGCAGAAATGCACAACAGGATTGTCTGATTATGGAAAGCATTCCTCGATCCATTCTTCCCACCACTTAAAACAGCGTGCAGCTCATTAATGCTGAGTTTTGCAGTTTATTTGCACATCTTTTTTTGTTCTTCAGTCGCTTAATGGGGGACATATGGTCCACTCGTGCTTTTAGCTTTCCCCCAAGGTACAGGCTGCCCTGAAAACACACATCTGAGGATGCAGATGTCAAATCCAAAAGAAATTATGACCCTGGCTGGAAGCAATGGCAGTCTGCATCCAGTGTGGTGGCTCTAATGGGCCATTCCCATCTGTACCGGGTCGGCCCGGGCCGGGTAGCGTAGGTTGTTTACATATCTGGGTGGCCTGATATTTTTCCGGGCCAACCAAGGCTCATTCTCAGCCCTCTTCTCGAGGGGGTCTGTTTCAGGCCGACCAGGACCAACACGCCCACTGCTGACAGCAAATTCACACCTTCCATTAGAGCAAGCCTCTGATTGGTGGGTAGAATCAGCCCACATGGGCTCTAGACAAGGATGTGTGGAATCAACCGGGCCAGGCTGGGGCCGACTGGGGCTACCCGGCCCGGGCCGACCCAGTACAGATGGGAATGGCCCATAACATGACAGTTGAAAAAATCACAGCAACACACAGGAGGAACATTAATGTAAAACTGTCTGCAAAATTGTGTGCAACTGATATGCATTGGGTTGCTTTTGAAAAACATGTTATTAAATTGCAACTTTTTAGACATTTTTTCATTGATTTACTGAGTCTAAACACTGTTTGTGCACTGAATATTAGATGTGACAACATTCAAAGCAAAAATTACAAGAACAAACTTTTTGGAGGTAATTCAATACAAATGTACAACTAGAGAGATCATTCTGCAGACTACATCCAAGCAGACACATTTTAAAAAATTATTTTGTTTTTTACCTACTTTAAAAACTTGCGAGTTAGTATTTTCCTTTTTCTTTATTTTATAAAATGTGTTCACTAACAGAAAATATCTTCAGTGGATGCTTAAACAAAACTGTATTTGTTTTTGCAGGTTCTGCCCGCTGAAACTTTGAGAGAGAAGAGCACGTTTGCTGAACCAGTGCACTCAGACCTCCACGCTGAGGTCCACGGGGACCAGGGCCTCTCCAGTTACTATGACGAATTCCACCAACTGAGCTTCTCAGTGACCTCCTGCATCAGGGGAGGATGGGTGATGGAGCAGTGAAATTGAGTGAACTCTCTCCTCTGTATCCCATCCTCTCATGGAGCGCCCCGTCACCTCAATCCTCCCCTGGAACAACACATCTCTCTCTACAACTGCAGCCTTGCAACAGCAAAATATCTCTAACATAAGTGGGCCTATCCAGAGCAGCCAGAGTGAGGTAGATCTAAATCAGACCTTAGGTCTGTGTGTTATGCTCTTTATGGACGTTCTGGCCGTGGTGGGGAACTTGGCTGTGATGGTAGTCATCACAAAAACGCCGCAGCTGCGTAAGTTTGCCTTCGTGTTCCACCTGTGTCTGGTGGACCTGCTGGCGGCGCTGCTGGTGATGCCTCTGGGGATGCTGTCGGACCGGATCCTGATGGATGAGGCGCTGTGTCGAAGCTACCTCTGCTTGAGTGTGTGTCTGGTGAGTGCGGCCATCCTCACCATTTGTGCCATCAATGTGGAACGCTACTACTACATAGTCCACCCCATGAGGCACGAGGTGAAGATGACAGTAGGGGTGGTGGTGATGGTTCTGGTGGGAATCTGGATTAAAGCTGTTGTCATGTCTGTACTGTCGCTGCTTGGATGGCTGCTTCAGGGGACCCCAAATCTGGAGACTCCTGAATTCCTGAGACACTGCTCCCTTCACTGGATGGGAGGCAGAACCACACGCCTGCTTTTCATGGTCTTCTTCACAGTCATCTATTTTCTATGCCCCATGCTGATCATCCTGGTGGTCTACTGCAACATGTTTAAGGTTGCCCGGGTAGCAGCCATGCGGGATGGGCCTAACCCCACCTGGATGGACACACCACGGCAGCGCTCTGACTCCATCAGCAGCCGCTCCACCATTGCAGCCAGCCTCAGAGGAGCAGGCGCACGCAGTACACCTCAAAGAATCTTCACTGGTGGAAAGGCTGCACTAATTCTGGTGGCAGTGGGAGGTCAGTTCTTCTGCTGCTGGCTGCCATATTTCTCCTTTCACCTCTACTCGGCTGTAGTGGCTACCGCTCCGGCTTCCCTGGCCCAGCTGGAGAACGTGGTCACGTGGATCGGCTACTTCTGCTTCACCTCCAACCCCTTCTTCTACGGCTGTCTGAACCGTCAGATCCGAGAGGAGCTGACCCGCCACCTGGCCTGCCTCTTCAAGAGGGCCAGGCCCAGTGAAGGGGAGCAGCTGCCCAGCCGCGAGGCCTCAATTGAGGAGAATTTTTTACAGTTCCTTCAGGGTACTGGATGCAATCTGGAGCCCTGCAACTCTCACAGCAGAGCCAGCCCAGAGGAGTCAGAAAGCCTTCAGGAGTCAGCTGTTGAGCAGAACTCGACAGCTGACTTCCACATCCCAGGGCAGATCCTGGAGGAATCCACAGAGTTCATACAGCAGCAACAACTGAACAATGAGTTTGTATTTTAGAAAACTGCTGCAAAGCTGTGCCAAGGATGTAGCTGCCTCGAGTGCTGTTCCTGTTGCCGTCTGATGATCCAATAAACATGTTTAGTTTTATTCATATTTTCTATAATTTCTTGTTCATGCTGCAATGACCTTTAAGGATAAGGTCGGGAATACACTTGCTGTTAAACCTCGCGTTGGCGCAGGCAGCAGGCTGCGTCTTTGTTCACATCCCTTGCTGCTATGGCACTGCATGTAGTTCTGGAGGGTTCCACTAGAGGGCGCACTAAAGAAGATCAGACCAGACAGAGAGCTGGGTACAACCAAAAAAAAAAAAAATACCTGGCATCAATAAAAGAGCTCACAAACAGGTTAATTATCAGATAACGACAAAGAGAGCAGTGGTATCATAAATGGTGTGAAAGACCTCTAAACCAGAGATGGAGTCACCGGGGTGAGTGTGTCTCGCTTGTTTGCTCCTCTTCTGGAGGTCTCCACCTACTGGTTACTTGTATATTACAGCGTTTGGACACGTCGCATTATTTTCAGGGATCGCACTCAAATGGTGCTTCAAATCAAAGCGTGGCGGCCATTTTAAACACGCGTTTGCGTTGTTAAACAGCAAGTTTATCACGGCCCTAAAAACCCAGCGAATTGCAACAAATGGTATCTTCTTTGAAGAATTAAAAGCATGTAGATTTTTGTTTTGTAGTTTGTAAGTTTCATTTGTGTGTTGCCTCATGGCTGCATTTTATGTTTTGGGAGCCATGTGGCTGTTTGCTCCATGTCACAAAAATATTTGAAGTGTTGGTTCAAGTGAAAAGACGAACGTCACATAAAGATGCTCTGAAACTGTCAGAGCGAAAGCCAGGGTGAAGACTCTTATCCACTTGGCTCTGAAAGTGTCACGTCCAATTCAGCTGATTTATCAAGTACAGAAAAACAAGTTATCACTGGCATGATTTCACGTCCGGGCACAATGTAGTTAGCTCTTCCTGCATCAAATACACATTACACTCTAAAAAATTTAACTGAATTACTTAAAGACCACATTTTCTGAGAAACTTTTTTATTTGTTATTTTTAAAATATGAGTTTACCACGTAGGTTAAATGTGAAAATAGTCTTCTACCCCGATTTCCTGCATTAGCCGCTGATGGAAAATAGACGAATAAATGCTCGGATTAGAAAAAACAGTCAACTGCATGCAGGGGTGGACTGGGACCAAAATTCGGCCCTGGCATTTTTACGAATCGTCGGCCCTCCACATTGGGAGAGCGGTGGGGGTGGGGGGTGTTCCTGCCCACGGGCTCGTCTCTAGGCCGAATTTGAGATCTAATATGGACTGGGACTGTTAAATTTCAAGCAGGGCTGACCGCTGCGACCCTGAGCCCTGGCCTTCCAGATCAGCTCATTCTTCACAGGCGGAGATCAGCGGGACATTAGCTACATGCTAACGCAGTAAAACAACTCCTACGTCATTGCTCTACTGCGATTTTCTTGCTAAAAATGCTTGGAAAAACTCTGTTAGCTTCAGGTTACCATGTAGCTAATGTTCTTCAGATCATCAACTGTGAAGTAGTGTCGGCCCAAACAGGGCAAGCAGCCCACTTGGCTAGGTGGCCCACCGGGAAAGTGCCAGAATGCCAGATAGGCCAGTCTGCCCCTGATTGCACAGTGAAAATTAGTATTCATGCACTCACCCATCTTCGCTTGCAACGGCAAAGGCTATTATTGGTTTAACGTCCAGTAGAGAGCAGAGCACGTCTCAGCTAGTAGAAGCTAACTGTTAGCATTAGCAACTCCACAACGTGGCAGAACTCCATCAGGCTAATGCTTTTGTGGAGTTAAAACGTCAATGTTGCACAACAAATGGAGTCAGTGGTAGAGTTGTGTTGCAGTTAGCCAATCAGAGGCGAAATGTCCAAATATCATGAAATAAGACTCCAAATCCTGCAGATTTCTGCTCCCCTCATCTGGCTCACTTCTAGATCCTGAAACAAGAGCGCCAGAGCTTTTCTCCCAAAGAGATCAACTCGCAAGGCATCCATGTGCACTAGAGTCTATTGCAAATGTATTGAAGAAAAAAAAGAGTAAACTCTGTATTTAAGTAAGTTATGTCAGCTGGCTCCACTAAACCTATTTCCTTAAATGTACAGAGTAATATACTTTATTATGTTGTTAAAAGTAGATGCATATTACCCTTGAAGTAATAAGGTTTGATGGAACCTGTTGACATGACTTGGTTAATCAAATTCAACAGTTCATTTTTAGAGTGTACATCTGTTATTTATTTATTTATTTGTTTATTTCCAACCATCAGCTCATCTGACTTCAACCGTTTAAATCCTAGGAACAACACACAATTGGCTCTGGAAATTTAAGAACAAAGAGTTTTGATATTTGCTGATTGGATGAAATATTGTTTTTGCTTTTATTACAGATTATTTCAGTATTTGTTCCACCAACGCTTCAACAGCCACCAAGGAATTCATTCGAAGGAGAAGATATAATTAAAAACAGTACCTCGCACTTTGAAAAATGTATTCTGTTGAACAAGATTGTTTCACAGCTGCTGCTGGTATTCATAATAAACAGGCTGACAGTGTTTTTTTAACCATTTTCCAGAATGTTATTATCATGTTTATCTGTTCTCAGTCTTGTGATTATCACCTCCTCACCAAAATGGGAGGCTCGTGATTTCAGCTTCTTCCACTCAAAGACAAACATTGTGGCAGTTTTTAGTTTAACCGTCTATTGAGGGTTTGGGTTTCAATGAAAATTTTTAAAATCTGCAGCTGCAGAGTGTTAAAACGAATGCTCAATGTGAACGACAAGCACACATTTGCTCATCCACCCTGTGCTGTCTACAGTGTTTACAAGTAAACACACGAGCAGTATGAGTGTTCTTATGTTTGTGCAACAAACAACCAGGCTTGTTGTGGCTACACACGGCACACAGGTGTGACAGTGCTTACACATGGAAAGCTTTGCCTTTGCCCTCTTTCGGCAACAAATGGTCGACACTTTTCTCTGATCTCAGGTGAAATACAAACAGTTTGCACAAGTCACACGAGCAGTGACCAATATTCCAAAGGAGACGACGGCACAGTTCTCTGAGTACCAACACCTTTTTTTCTGTTTCCTTGCTGTCTGCATCTATTTTGGACTGCCTCGATCAGGATAGCCGGTATCATCACAAGACTCCCGACACAAGGCGTACAGGGAGAGTTGAGAGTTTGCTGGGAGTCACAACGAAAAAGGTTCCTTTGTCAGAGGAATACAGAACATTCTCAGTTTTCCTCCTGTGTGACCTCGCTGTAGATTAGTGTTTTCAGGCAGTGCTGTCATTGCATCCACTTTTAAAATGTTTGTTTTGTGCAAAACAGTGAACTCTGAATGAGATGAAATCCCAGCCAAGGTGTTCCTCAACATGTGTGTGTGTGTGTGTGTGTGTGTGTGTGTGTGTGTGTGTGTGTGTGTGTGTGTGTGTGTGTGTGTGTGTGTGTGTGTGTGTGTGTGTGTGTGTGTGTGCGTGTGTGTTTTCATTTATATGTAGTAGCTGTACAACTATTTTCCTGTCACAAAATGACATAAACTGCCTTGATTTGTAACACCAGTGCCTGTGAACTAGAGTTTCATCTTCAATAGAAGCAAAACTGCCCCGACTCATCTCAAGAAACGCTCTGGGCTCGGTGTCTGCCACCATCTGTCGACGACAAACACAGAAGTAATCCATGAAGGTGGAAAATGCTTTCAGGAAATTAATGTGTTGTCTTAAACTACATTTTTGTTTGTTTGTTTTTTTTTTTTTTTACCTGAGCTGAAAAACACTGTTAGGATTCCTCAGATTTTCCTCTTGTGTGTTGAACAAAAATATTAAAGACGCAGAAAGAGTTTTAAAATGAGTGTTGAGTTGTTGTTGCATCAGATACGTTTCATATCAAAAAGCATATGAGAAAATAAAAGTAAGAATGTAGATAGAATCAATCATAAAGAGCAGAAGGACAGATGTTGTGAATTTAAAAGAAGCAGGATCCTTCAGATTTTCAAACTTCTATTAAAATAATTTTATTATCTGAACTGAAACTTTAATCTAATTTTGCCCAAATTGATTTAAATGGTCCAAACAAGTATTCTCTAGTGACAACCAGATGTTAATTTAAGAAAGGGAAGCGAAAAGCTGAAAAGACACATGATAATGGTCCATACTGAACAAATCCCACATGTGACGTGTGGCCACCATGAAATTGAAACATCCCACAGATACTTAACATGATATTTGAACCTTTTAAGGATTTTTATGTTAAAAGTCATAATAGTTCCCCTTTAATGCTTCTAGGTTTGTACAGTGTATTGAAAATATATTGTTTCCACAATATCAGAATTTATTATTGTTAAAGCAATAACTGTCTAATTACTAATTTATTTAGATAGCAGAGCACACAGAAAAATATGATGTGGATTTTCTGCAATAACAACTTTGCAATTGCATTTGTTTTTTTATTGTGCACCCCCTGACAGCTGTCCACATTACATGTTTATTTATACAGAATATTTTTATGGTTCTTTACAAGCATAAAATCACAGCCAGCACAAAATAATTTCAGGGGTTGGGTTAGGGCCAGGTTTAGGTACAGAAACACACTTCAGAATAGCCAAAATATGCCTTCAATCATGTTGATGTCTACACACAGAGACAACTTTTAAATCTTGCTGTTTTGACAAATTGCTTTGAATTACCTTTGCTGAGCAGCATGTTGCATCATCACTTATTTTAGAAGTTCAGTTTCTCTGAAAGAATTTTATTTAAGGTGTTTGAGTAGCATCTAAGAAGAGCAGGACTGAATGTCATGCCATCGTCTGGCACGTTTTAAATTGCTCCTAATCCAAAAATTTTAAAGGAGGCCTGAAATTATTTAAAAAGTTACATAATAGTCCTATGGTCAATACAAAACATATTTATAAAGTTATTTGCACTAAATGCCTCTCACCTAAATGATCTCAGCAGTTTTATTGTTTTCAGTACCTTCCAGAAGGAGTCCTTTCAGGTCTCTGTCGCTTTAAGAAAAGAAGCTGAAGATTGCCCTCCCACCTATCCCCCACACAAGCTGCTATAAGCTGAGAAGCTCTGATATCTGGGCGGGGCTTGAAGTAGAGCCACTGTCCCTCAAGCCTGGAGAGGTGGTTTGATTGCAATTTTTCAGTTTATGATGTCACAATCAGGGACTTTTTCAAACAGCTTTTTTTTTCTGAATAAAATTTCTGAGACCAAAACACTCATGAGTTTTTCATGGTTGGAGGGTAGATAGAGGCAGTAGAGACCCACATGGGAGCACAAAAGGATGAATTTTGCATATGTCCCTTTAAGAACTGCATGTTCTCTTGCAGGTCATAATGTCGTGGGTGACAGGAAACAGCTGAGCAAGATCATTTAAAAATAAAACAATGAATAATTTAGCTCTATAAAATCCTCCTTTTGTTTGTTCACTATTTCTGTTTGTTTCTTCTCCAACATCAGTCAGAGCTCATGCCTTCTCCTGTGCTGCTCCCCATCGGACACAGTGACTCACTTGATGTTCAGCAGTGTAGGGCACCTCCTGCAGAGCACAGCAACACTTCAAACAGCCTGACCTTTAGTGATAAGCTATATAACATGCAGTAAAAGTCCTCAAGTAGGGACGCTACCTTAGCATCACTCCAGAAGGTTACTGAGTGCATGGCACCCTGAATGGGTGGATGAGTTTAGGTGTAATAAAATGTGAAAGCTGTGAACGTACCAGCTGACACAAACAGCCTCACTCCGCCTCAAACAAGATGGTGCACTCAGAGGTTCACATATGAACTCCACTGCATGAATTTCTCACTTACACTCAAATCCTGACTTCTCTGAAAGCAGCTGTTGCCGTGGTAACCTGCACCAGTGACAGTGAAGAAGGGCTCGTTTGGCAGCAGGAGGATGGAGCTCGCAGGAAAAAACAAGCAGAATACTTGGTCAGTGATGCATTTAAGAAGCAACAAAAGCCTGAAGAAGCCGAATGACCTCATTTATAACTCACTGTTAATGTTTGTCTGATCAAAAGTCCTCTTCTTGACTGTAAATGCACAGAAGACAACTTCAGTTTTTAACAGCTGAGATTATTTTGAGTCTATCAGTAATTTTTAAGGCAGGAACAGAAATTTGGCCCAGAAAGAAAAAGTTGTCAGTAGGTTTTTGACCTGCCTTTGTCATTAAAATGTCATTTTCATTTTTTTGAGACAGTTCATTATGTACCACTCTCGGATTGAGTCTATGTCAGTATGCTGGTGATCATTGTCAATCATCCAGGCAGAATATGGTGACCAAAGGAGATTTTAATCTGGAATTCTACTTTCTCAATAACACACACACACACACACTTGTGTGTGTGTGTGTGTGTGTGTGTGTGTGTGTGTGTGTGTGTGTGTGAGAGAGAGAGAGAGAGAGAGAGAGAGAGAGAGAGGAGCATCTTAACATCTATTCTATTTTTTCCATTCTTCTTCAATACATTTTGTATCCACTATCTAAAATGCATTAAGAAATTGTACACATAAAATTATTTTTAAAGTTAACCAGTTGTTCAAAAACAAATGTTAATTTTTTGTGTACATTTTTGTTTATCTCTTTTTATATGGAAATATTAAGTAAAAATTGATCAGTTGCACACATGATTTCTACTGTCAAGAAAAAAAATTCTAGTTAAACTACTGTAGCAGTTTAAACTCTACTGTCAGCTGTAATATTGTAACATTATGTAAAGTGTAAATATTTGGTTTGTACTTTTGTCTGTCTTTGCATTGCTCTCAAGCTTGAAGTCAAGTTTGCGTCCCTTGAAAGATTTACAAAATCTATCATAAGTATTTTATCTTAAATCATATAAAATCTTGAGGTAAACTGAATGAAAATTGTGACAAATGTGAAAGGTTTAACCCTCTCAGGCTCAAAATAAGTTTTGATAAAAGGACGAACAACTAAGTCCTTCAGGGGAACTTCTGAGTTAAAGAATGCTCATGAAATACGTATGTGGAGTAACCAGGTAGGTAGGTTTTAAATCTGCAACGCCTGCCTTCAGAGGGCTTAACAATAAAAACCAGAGGTGTGGACTCAAGTCACATGACTTGGACTCAAGTCATGTGACTTGAATCATTACGGTATTTTAATGACTTCTGACTTGACTTGATAAAATCTATAAAGACTTACGACTTGACTCAGACTTGATCGCCAATGACTTGCGACTTGAATCGACTTGGATCTGTTGACTTGATGATGATTGAGCATATTTGATATTTCAGTACAAAAGTGGCACGACATGGACAAAAATCCTAAATCGTTCTTCGTTCTGGATTTGATCTGCTAAATGCAGCAGCACTTTGTTTATAATCAGTCTCAGTTGCACTTTCTGCTTGTTTGAGCAAATGAAGCTTTAAGAAGCTTTATTTCTGGAATGTATTTATTATCATTGTCATTAAATAGAAGTTGGACAGATGACTTGATTATGACTTGAACATTTAAAGTTAAGGAATTGGACTTGACTTTGACTTCCGTATCATTGATTTTGGACTCGGCTTGGACTTGACTCGAGGCTTGACTGGATAGACTTGTGACTTACTTGTGACTTAGTGACTTGGCCACACCTCTGGTAAAAACGCTTATTTCAGTCCTGAGAATAAATACAGGATTAAAGAAATGATTTAGATAGCTGTAGCTTAGTGATAAATCCACTAGAGAGCGCTCTCGTGTCACTTTAAAAGCAAAGAAAACCCAGAAAAGAGGGTTTGAGTTTAGAGCGGTTTAAAAACGACTGTGGGGAAGAAAAGTTTCCCCAGAAGGAAATTATGTGACTGTGAGCCGCCTGGTTGTTCGGTGACTAAAATTCCCACGAATCCGTGGGCGTATTTGTTCTTCATTTTGATTCTCTGGGGAGTTTGCAGCTGAATAGCTGAGACTTTCTGCTTCACAGCAGAATCACTTTTATTAAAGAAAAAGTTGGCTTTCGTTCTGTACCCGTTTTTGTGACACTTGTTACTTTTTTGCTATTTTAATATTTTTATAACAACGTTTTCTTATAGCTGCACGCCTCTAAATTACAGTATACGTGGATAACTTTTTTCCCTTTTTTATTTTTATTTTGTTACTTGTGTTGGACTGGAGTTGACTGAAGCGGCCTGTGAGGATTTAGTTACACGGTGCCAACGCCTTTCCTCCTCCTCCTCCTCCTCCTCCTCCTCCTCCTCCTCCTCTCCGCGCTGGGGCTGAGCCGGGAGGAGCAGCAGCTGGACGTGTTGAGCGGCTGAAAGGTCTCGGTCCGACGGTGAGAAGTTGTCAGAGAGTGAAAATGGGCTGCACGATCAGTGCCGAGGACAAGGCTGCGGTGGAGAGGAGTAAAATTATTGATAAAAACCTGCGAGAAGACAGAGATAAATCATCCAGAGAGGTGAAACTCCTGCTGCTCGGTATGAACAACATCTAATAGTCCCTTTTAATGCAACAAATGTCTTTTCTGTGAATATTTTTGAATTTTCACACTCAGGAATAGTTCGTGGCACTCCAGCACTCCTCCTCCTCTAGCTCTCCCCCTGGTTGAGCAGCTGGAACTCATCGTTTCCCTGCATGTGAAAACTTGTAGAAATAAACCAGATGTTGGTATGAGGAAACCCAACACTGTCACGGGTTTTCTATCAGCGTTAAACTGTTGAAAAGGGGGAAGTGATTCAAAAGATCTGGTCTGTTATTTCAGCTCACTGTTGAGTCAGCAGTGTCTGAAACCAATGCACACAGAAAAGAACAGATTTCTTTCTTTTAGACTTTTTACTGACTCAAATATTCTCACGCTGATGTACATAAATAGTTTCCCGACTGCACCCTCCTAGTTTATCCTTACTGATTAAAGCAGTTTACACAAACAACTTTTTAAGTTGTTCTTGAGTTTAAAGGGACTTTACGGACTTTTGAATTTTTATGCTCGGGATTGCCCCCTCAGGCCAAAAGCATAACGGCAGCTGCAATAGTAGGCTCGTGCACGAGGTGCGCATGCTGTACATGCACACTCCTTAACGAAAATAACAGCTGAGACAGTCCCGTGTGTGTGGCCCGGAGGACAGAGGACAGGAGAACGCAGCTAATTAATTAAATCATTTGGTTCTGTACCTTTCTCTTCAGCACAGCCGACAAAGATTTATGATGGGTCAGTCGTCCTGCATGCTGAGATCATTACCTTCCCTTGCTTGAAAAATTGTTCCAAAATGAAAGTTGAACCCACCTCTTTTTTATCTGTGAATTCAATGCTGTTTGGCAAGTCTCAAATAAAAATTTGGGCATCTTACTGTAAAAAAATACCATTAATGTAAAAAAGAAACTCCAAATAAACTATGTTCACACACAGAATTGAACCCAGGTCCTCAGCATGAGAGTCAGATATCTTACAAGGTGAGCTACACTCTAGTAATATTCATAGTATCTGTAACTTTTATATCCTTAATGACACCTGAAACAACGTCGAACCAAAGAACGGTTCAAAGCGAAAATGGCTATTTTGTTGCTAAGTTGCAGGAAATATCTAGAAGAAAGTTATACAGAAAGTAGCTAAGGTTCCTCAGAAATGTAGCTAGGTTCGTCATTAGGCGTTAGGAACAGCGACAAAGTCGCTGAGTTGGCACTCTCTCTCTCTGCTGCTAAAGCTACGGATAGCAAATGCTACGGACTAATAAAAAAAACAAAGAAAAATAAAAATGGCAAAAACTCATAATAATGAGAAAAGCTAAAGATGTGAGGAAAGGGCAAAAGAAAATGAACAATAAAAGGCAATCAGTGGATCCCAGGAAAAGCTGAATCAGCAGAAAGAGCAGAACTAAGCTAATTCAGGTGTTTGCTAACCATCAAAATTAAGTGCCATCTGCCTTGGGGGCGGGCATCTGACCTATTAGAACCCACCCAATTGGCCAAATGGGTGAAGAGCTCTATTTGATTTGTTAAAAATACATCATGTGCCCGTTGGATGCATTATGTGTAGCAAACATTTGAGCTGACCCTTCATTGCGATATTCATCTGTTCTTTATGATATGTCACGCGAGGGTACACAGGAATAAACCCAAATGCAGGAGGCAGGATGTCCAGATCCAATACTGAGGTATTTTAATAACAAAAGGTCACCACATAAGTGGGAAAAAGGACTTCACTTTATCAAAAACTACCATAGACTCTAAGGCCCTGTCCACACGTAGCCGGGGATCTGCCAAAACGTAGATATTTTTCTACGTTTTGGCCTGTCATCCACACGAAAACGGAGTTTTTTCACACGAAAACAGATCTTTTTAAAAACTCCGGCCAAAGTGAAGATCTGCGTTTTCTCCGTTTTGGGTGTCTGCGTGTGGACAGACAAAACCGGAGTTTTAAGGTCCGCAACGTCACTTTCCGCGACAAAAAAAATGCTGACATCACGTGTGCGACCTGTGTTTACACTAGCCGACAGCATGGATGCCCTCAGAGCTGCGCTCGCTTTATCAATTGTCCAAGTGCTTTTTGCTTGTTTGTTTTTGCAAGCGGAATTACTGCTCCTTGCGGAAGACCACAGACGAAGGACGAGGTTAAGAACGGGGGAAGTACTGCTGCCTACGGGTCTGGCATGTCCTTAACAACGTATTTATCCGGGTACGTGTGGACAGAGTTTTTTTTTTTTAAACGAGGTGGTGTGGATGCAAGTTTTTGGAGGAGCGGATATTCATTTAAAAAAAACGGCTACGTGTGGACTAGGCCTAAGTTCGTGCTATAGACACCAGCAATACTACACAACAACGCCACACCATGCACTGGGAGCAGCTGCTTAAATACATGGTGTGGCAATCAGGAAATTGCAGTCAGCTGCGGCACTCCCTGGTGCTCCAAAGAGGGGCAGGAACTGCAGGAAGAGCCACAGCCAACCTACACAGAGAAAAAACACACATTAAAGACACTCATGAGGAATAACCCATAACATGATATGCATATTGCGCATGTTGATATTGCGATAACGATATATTTGTGATATATTGTGCAGCCCTACCAGGCACCTTGACATTGAGAAATACCTCTTACTTTTAAACTTGAAATTTGCCCCCAAAGTAGCTGCTGGCCTCTGATCTGCCATCTTTTTGAAAATACCGTGGAGTATTCTGGGAAATTTTTGACCAGAGCTAGGCCACAAGACACCTCCCGTGTATCCTGGCTCAGCTAGCTAAACGGCTAACAAACGGAGAACACACACCTGAACATTGGAACACGTCTTGGCAGTTCCTGGTGACGAATCTCCTAGGCAACCGGAGTGGGGCCAAGACATCAAGGCGAGGTTCCTTGGCTTTGAGAAACACCCTTGGGCTCCCTACTGGAAGATCTATGAGTTCCTTCAGAATGAAAGCGATAAAAACTACTGCCAACTAGCAGTCGGAGTTTGAATTGCACCCCACAAAAAAGAAAAACCCTGCATCTAAATGCTTTTCATGCAAATTCCCAAAAAATGATTGATACATTGCTTTTAAATATTGATTCAGTATCATGATAAGAATATAAGAAAAAGATTACAATATTTCAGTGTATCAATATTTTCTTGCCCTACTAACATCAAATTATAGCTCAAAATCTTTAAAATAGTTTGCGTTTTAGCCATTTTTGTAGCCTAGTGAACTAGACCAAATTCTTGCTTTGCAAAGTTTATAATACATGTATTTAGTCTGGCTTGCCAGGCTACCATTTTTGTGGATTTGACGGTTAATCAGCTGCCGAGGCTCATCCAATGATTACTTTCAGTTTCTCTTTTTTGTCCACTCAGTTGCTCATTTAGCTAACAAGCACATACTCACGCACACACATACATGCAAAAATATTGTAATCCATCTTTCATCATCCAGCCATACATACGTATACATGCAGACATATAAACATGTATATGAAATATAAATATACATACACTTACTTAAGTACTTAAGTACTTACTTGGTAAGTTGTCGTCAGTGTTTGAGATTTACCAGAAAATGTCAGCTTTTGTGTTTTCATTGTCCCTTCAGCGTTTTTTCATCTAATCTAATTAGAGCTGAGCTGAAGCATTCTGACCGGGTCAGCAGGAGAATCAGATGTGTAATTAGATGTGTGATTATTCTGAGTACAGATATGGAACATTCATTCATGATTCAAGACATTCTTAAGATGACAACGGATGATTTTTTTGTACACGTTATTAAAGAGTTCCCTTGTTCTAATGTGTGAGTGAATTGTTTTCTCTCAGGTGAATGTGTGACTTTTGTAATCAACGAATCAGTGAGACTATCAGTTCTAAAGATTGTTTTTGGTTTTATGAGACGATGGAGCCGTAGATTTCTGATTTCCATCAGGATCTTTAACTTTATGAAATGCAGAACAAAACCCATGCATCTCGTGTCAGCTGTAAGGATAATGAGCTATGTTTTTCCTTCTAGTTCCTCCTTTTATAGCTCATTGATGTGTGGCATGCAGGCCGTTGATTGTCTTCGTGAATGCACATGCATGTGGTTGCTGGAGAAGCTCACTGCTCCATGATTCATTGGGTGTTGCAATGCTTCATTGCAGGCTACGATCTCATTGTACGGAAACATTTGTTCTGGAAAACCAACCACAATTTTTTTTTCCCAAGCAATCACTCCCTGGAGCAGAAAAGTTATAGGAAGGAAAACAAAAAGAAGAAGAAAAAAAAGGCTGTGCACCCTTTCAGTGGAAATGGTCACAGTTTGACCACAAATGGTGATAAATAAAAAAATAAATCTGGATTTGAGATTCTTGTTAAATGAGGCTTAGTTTGGAGTCTGACTTCTGTGTGGGTTTGGATGCTTGTGTAAAGTTGGTTTTGTGAACTGGCAGCAGGCCAGGGCTGCTAATCAGTCAAGAAATGCCATGAATGAGAGAACTGATGTTTGACAGAACCGAGAACACGGATCAATGTGATTCGTCCTCTCCTCTGTGTCTGTGTGATGAGAGTAAATCTCTTTTCCCGCTGTCAGCTTAACCTAAAATATTCGCAGGTTTAATTCTTGCTGGGCGGTGATCTGAACACTGTTCTCCTCTAATCCTTCTTCATGATATTCAGCTGCTAAAATCTACAAATGTGGAAGTGTTTTTCTTTATTATTTGGTATTTTGTTTCCATCTATTAGCTGTGATTATAGTGGAACTAAACTCAGGTGTTCATGGTTTCTCACCAGCTGTCTGATTTTAACCTCTGAAGTTTAATGTACTCCCACACACACACACACACACACACACACACACACACACACACACACACACACACACACACATACACACACACACACGCACGCACACACACACACACACACACACACACACACACACACACACACACACACACACACACACACACACACACACACACACTTTAGGTCACTCCTGTTTCTCTTTTTAGACCTTGAATAAAAGTTCATGTTATGTTGTT